CATTTGGGTAGCTTTCGCAATATATTCCGCTACTCACCAGCAAAACTCACGAAACCACAATGCCTTTCACAAGAATGAAACAAACCATCCCGTAACTGGTTTCCGAGAATGGGCACATAGCTGCAAATGGGGGTATCTGTTGCATTGGGTACTAAATCCTTGTCGCATCGGGACATCTATCCGCTTCATAGGCGGTTTCACTTCATCATGTAATAGAAAACTTACACATCTAATCTTACCAAATCCTCGCACACAAAATTTTACGCTCTCGCTTACAACCTCTCCTTCTGCAGACCCTTCCAGCCCCATTCTTGCGCAATCAGCTCAGCCGCACGCTCACCGATACCAAGTACAGTCAACATGGGGTTGATAGTCGGCATCTCAGGGAAACATCCCGCATCCGCGATTCTGACACCTTGCAGACCTCTAATCTTGAGTTCGGGATCCACAACGGCCATGTCGTCCTTGTTCACATCACCCATCTTGGTGGTACCAGCAGGGTGGTACACAGTGTGTGCGACGCGGCGACCGTACTCGGACAGCTCCTCGTCCGTGTTGACATTCGGTCCGGGAGCGACTTCGCGCTTGATCCAGTTGGAGAAGGGGGCTTGCTTTGCGATTTCACGGGCGGCTTTGAGACCGGCGACGATGGTGGCGGCGTCGTAGCCTTCGGGGTCGGTGAAGTAGCGGAAGTCGAGGGCGGGTTTGACAGTGGGGTCGGATGAGGTGAGGTAGATGCGGCCGCGGGAGCGGGGACGGGGGATGTTGGGAGTCATGCAGAAGGCATCGATGGGAGAGTCGTAACCCATGCTGATGAACACGTTAGTTTTTAATGCCAAGGCGATGGGGGTTGCATTCGAAAGAACCTACCGAGCAGTGTTTAGGCAGAAGGGGATTTGGTAGCAGTGCATCATGATATCAGCAATGTCGCCGTCACCGCCCGCTGCATTGGGCACCTCGCGGCGGAGGAAGATACCAGCGTCAGAGTCCATGGTGGTCTGGTTCGCAGGTACGGGCTTGTTGAGCTCCCAAAGGATGATGCTCTCGGGGTGGTCAAGCAGGTTCTCACCAACACCAGGGATATCCTTCACAACGGGGATACCGAGGTCGGAGAGCTGTTGCTTGGGGCCAAGACCAGAGAGGAGCATTAGACGAGGGGTATCGACGGCGCCAGCGCAGAGAATTGTCTCGCACTTGGGGTTGAGGGTACGCTTTTCGCCGGATTGGAATGTGATGTCGATGCCGGTGACCTTGTCGCCGTTGACGTTGACCTTGCTGACCCACGCGTTGGTGAGGACAGTCAGGTTGTCGCGCTTCTCCTCGCCACGGAGGATAGGGTGAATGTAGGCAACACTAGCGCTGCTTCGTCGGCCGTCGTCGGGGTTATATGAGACTGAGAAGAAACCGACCGAGGGCTTGAGGGCGCCCTTTGTCTTGATTTCGTGGTTAAAGTCGTGGATCACGGGGATATCCATGGCGGTTGAGCACGAGTCGATCCAGTCGAGGCAGAGCTGGTTCCGGTGCTTCTCGTGCACGGGCTGAACAGTGTTGCGCAGGTTGTCAAGCACGCGCATGAAGGTCTTGAAGCTCCAGCCCTTGCAGCCTTGAGCTTCCCACCTCTTGCAGTCGTACTCGAACGGCCTGAAGGAAATGAGAGTGTTGTGTGATGAACAGCCACCAAGGACCTTTGCACGTGAGTGACGGATGTGAGAGTTGCCGTTGGGCTGTTCGGTGGTGCCGTAGTCGTAGTCGAGCTCGCCTCCAAGGAGGTTGAGCCAGTCCTTGAGCAGCAATACACGGTCGTCCATGAAGTCGCTTGGGCCGGCCTCAATCAAGAGGACCTTCTTGTTGGGCAAGTACTCTGTGAGTCGCGAGGCAATGACACAGCCAGCTGTGCCTCCTCCGACAATGACAAAGTCATACTCGGCATCCTTGGGGATGGAGGTCACGGTCTCGAAAACCATTGTGTAGTTGCGTATGGGTGTTGTGGCTTGGGGTGGTGGCGAGACTATACTCGAGAATACAATTCTGCTGGAGAAGGGCTGTTTCACGTAAGAGGCAAGCTTATATATCTATACCGGACTATCGCTCTTGGGGACGATGTTGTCTAGACGGGCCGGGGGTCGCGATCGGGCGGTCGGCAGAAGGTCGGACAAGCAAAAAGTTGAGCTGTACGGGAGGTTGGTGTACGGGCTGAGAGTCGTGTGGCCGCTGCAGGATATGTAGTTGGCCTTCCAGATAAGACTGTGCTAAATAGGCCCGTTTGCGCGGTTGGACCAAGCGCTTGCACGTGCTCAACCGGCGCTCCAGTACGTCAGCGACGTTGCGAGAGTGAAGCGAGGAAAGATTGGCGAGAAGCCGAACTATGGTTGCACTGTACGCTATGCGCAGGGCGTGAACGTGATTGATGGATTGATGCCTTCTAGAAGACTGATGCCACGGTTGCGACGATGTGGTGTCGCTCGCGACCCCAGGTCAAGAGAAAAAAAGGCGTCGTAAAAGACTCCGATGATGTGATGGGCGCGTTGGCGCTAGTACGACCCCGCTGGGCTGCAGATTCCGAGCAGGCGATCCCTGTCCGCCCATGCCGCACCTTCCCCGATATCCGGGCGGTGAGCGCGGCAGCCATCGGACCACCTTTTTTATGCCAGACACCAGCGTCGACAAGAGAGAGGCCATTCCGCGTGAAAGCGAGTGAAACAATCTTGATCCTGCACCTTGCTCTTATCGGCTGACGCATCTCGTCGGCGATACTCCGAAAGATTGCAGAGCCGTTAAAGGAAAACGAGGCGCAACAGCTGCATCACGGCTCCCTCCCCCCACTGCTATTGCTGTATACAAATGTTAGTCGAGGTTACATCACCGCGCCAGTCTTTGAGCCCTTGGCTGACAGACTGCAGATCCAATTGTGCATAAAGATTCTACCGGTGCATGTCGCCCATTGTGACCAGACTCGTGCAGCATCACATCATCACCAGAAGCGCCCTACCCAGATATCTAGCTCATCCATTGCGCCAACAAGCCACCCTCACCATGTCTCTCCCATATGCGCCCCGATCAGCCTACTACGACGGCAAGCTCCAGTCTGCCTCTTCCACCTCAATCTTCCAGACCATCGACCCCGCGACCGCCCAGCCTGTCGCAAACATCCACACCACCTCAAACGCCGGCATCGACGCTGCCATTGCCTCGGCACAACGCGCCTTTCCCTCCTGGTCCTCAACGCCCCCAATCGAGCGCGCGCGCATCCTTCAACGAGCCGTCTCCCTCCTGCGCGCGCGCAATGACGAGCTCGCACGCATCGAAACCAGCGACACGGGCAAACCCTTCTCCGAGACGTCCACCGTCGACGTGGTGACGGGCGCCGATGTGCTCGAGTACTTTGCGAACCTCGTTGGAGGCGGTGGCATGAACGGCGAGACGGCACAACTGCGACCAGACGCGTGGGTCTACACGACCAAGAACTCGCTGGGCGTATGTGCAGGAATTGGCGCATGGAACTACCCTATTCAGATTGCATTATGGAAGTCAGCGCCCTGTCTGGCGGCAGGTAACTGCATGGTCTACAAGCCATCAGAGTTCACTCCACTGCACTCGACTGTTCTGGCGGATATCTACGCCGAAGCTGGTGTGCCGCCCGGCGTCTTCAATGTCGTCCAGGGTGGCGGCGAAGTGGGCGCATACCTCACCAAGCACTCTAGCATTGCCAAAGTCAGCTTCACCGGACAAGTCTCGACCGGCAAGAAAGTCGCAGGCAGCGCATCGGGCGAGATGAAGTACGTGACGATGGAGCTAGGCGGCAAGTCCGCCTGCGTAATCCTCCCCGACGCCGACGTAGACCAAGCCGTCGACGGCGCCATGCTCGCCAACTTCTTCTCCACAGGTCAAGTCTGCACCAACGGCACCCGCGTCTTCATTCCCGAAAGCATCAAATCCGAGTTCGAGAAGAGGTTGCTGGAGAAGATGCAATACATCCGCCCCGGCGACCTGCACGACCCAGCCACAAACTTCGGCCCCTTGGTATCCAAGCCACACTACGACAAGGTGATTCAGTACATCAAGCACGGCCGCGACAACGACAAAGCGAAGCTGCTCTGTGGCGGTCCAGAAACACCTTCTTGGGTCTCTTCGCACAGCGACAAGGCCTACCACAACGGCTACTGGGTCCAACCCACCGTCTTCACAAACTGCACCGATGACATGAAGATTGTGCGCGAAGAGATCTTCGGTCCCGTCATGTCTATCCTCACGTACAAGACTGTTGAGGAAGTCGTCGAGCGTGCAAACGCTACCGACGTCGGTCTCGCGGCAGGGGTCTTCACCAAGGATCTTAATCTCGCGCATAAAGTCATTGCTCAACTTGAAGCTGGCATCACCTGGGTCAACACATGGGGCGAGAGTCCGGCTGAGATGAGCGTGGGAGGGTGGAAGCAGAGTGGTGTGGGTGTGGAGAACGGCAAGAAGGGGTTAGAGGCTTGGGTGCGGAATAAGAGCACGCTTGTGGAGATGGGCGGAAGTGTGCCGACTGTTTTTGCCAAGTTATAGGTGGGGGAGGGATTGAAAGCTGTAGTTATTACTTGGATGTTCCATGATGTTTCACTGCAAACGAGCTCAGCGTCCCCACCATGATCGACGTGTGCAACAACGTCTACGCTTAGCGTCGGATACGTTGAGACTTTCAGAAAGGACTCTCACGTTACTGACAATCCGAAATGAATGCACGATGAAGCGTGCCTATGTCATAATTTCCCCACTCTTGTGTCCAAACGGCGTGCATGTCACAAATGAGTGTCTGAAAATCTGTTGCCGGCTGAGAAGGCTACATACATTGCGGTAAATGCAGAAAAAGAGACAAATCTGAAAGGTACATGCATTCTGTATGTCAGCCGATCGTTGCCCTCTATCCAGATGGCTCAAATCTCGACTGGTCAAGCAGGAACAAAAACAGATGGTAATGAGAAACTTGCGCTCATCTAGCTAAAGCTCCATGTCCGCCATGATCAATACACAGTGTCCAGGGCAGCAAACCATGATTCAAGTAGACCAATTGCGGAAGCAGACTGCGCCAGAGAAATCTGGCCCCAACCACCACCGACTTCTTGAACGGTCCTACTGTTGGAGCCACTCGCGGGCCAGCTAGTAAGTCCAGGTCCATTTGGATTACCAGTCTTGATAAAGTTGACCCAATAAGCATTCATAGTCTTCGCGATCTGGTAGTCCTCGGCCGTCCAAGGGAGGGCGGTGCCATACAGATTATTGAGCACATAGTTGATCTCAGATTCATGGTATGCCCCCTGAGACTGCCCAGGCGGCGCATGGTCCCAGAAGTAGTTGTAAACTGGCTGTACGGATGATGTGCCCCACAGTCGCGACCAGAGCCAGGTGCCAATTGCCGACCTGTCTGACCATTGTCGGTTGTAGGCTGCCGAAGCTGATGCGCTATCATTGGCACTGTAAACTTGCAAGAACTGGTCGGTCCAATCGCCAAACGTAGCATTCATGTTCGACAAGTAGGTGGCGAGGGAGATGTTGAGCCCGTATGTGGCACCACTCTCGTCTCGGGTGTTTCCGGTCAATATAGGTACATCGTTAGCCGCACCTCGAAGTAGGGTGTTCATGTAAGTATCTGGTATAACGTAATGGTCCAAGACTGCTCCGAAGTCGTCTCCTTGCGTGAACGTGGTATAGTCGAGATCGCGAAGCTGCTGGAGGGATGTAACATTGAGGTCAGCTACGTAGCTCTCGCCAGTTTCCAACGCCGTGTCAAGAGTGCGGTAGTTCTCGGCAAGACTTGCAGATAACGGATCCTTGGGGTAACGGACACCAGACTCGATGATGGCGCCGACGATGAGGTCTTTTGTCAAAGGGTTGTTGACAATGTGGTAGGATGCTGCCGATCCTGCAGATTGACCCAACACGGTGATGTGCTCAGGATCTCCACCGAATGCTGAGATATTCTCGACGATCCACTTCAAAGCCGCTGTTTGGTCCAGAATTGCCCAATTACCAGAACTATTAGTGCCATGCGTTGTTTCCATTTCTGCTGAGAGCCAGGGATGCCCAAGCCAACCAAACACGCCGTTACGGTAGTTGTAGCTGACAAAAACTACGCCTTTGTCTGCCATTCCTGCACCGTCAAAGAGCGGATCGCGAGCGGTTGACATAGCTGGGTAGCTCCACATAACTACGGGCAGTTTGGCATCAGTCGATTTTGCGGCGCTCCAGATATTCAGGCTCAGACAATCCTCAGAAACAGTGTAGTCGGTGGGCACCATTCGGAACGTTTGAGGACACACGTTTCCAAAGTCCTTGGCGTGCAGGGTAGAATTCCATGATGTCGCAGACTGCGGGGCTTTAAAGCGATTGTTCCCACCGGTCGTGGCTGCGTATGGAATGCCTTTCCATACCGCAATGTCTTTCCAGTGCTGGAGATCAGATGCACTGGGCCCGGTGTTAAAAGCTGGGTAGCCTTGTATAAGACCATACCTGGTTTTGACGGCCTCATCATACAAAGCGGCATTTGTGAAGCTCAGTCCAGTCGCGATGAAGGATAGAAAAGGTGGAGAGCGACCCATTGCAAACGGCTGTATGGGAGCACAAATTTTAGGGGAAAAACGCAGTTGGATTCAAGGACGCTGCCTGGAGGTTAGGGGAATTTGTACATATCACGCAAAGCTGATTTTACCACTCCTTTTCCAACTGAAAAAATTGTTGAACGTCATGAAGCTGGGCTAGGTATGGTTCCAAAATTACTGATTCATTACACAAGTCTCGTAAATATTGATGTACGTGCCAGATGACGAGTTGAGGCAGTTGCCTACGTACGTCGTGTTCTGATGAGCATGATGCGTAGGCCAGTCGACGAAAATGTCTCCTTTCCCCACCAGCCACGATACCTATCTTGGAAGCTCCGTCATGCCTGCCTAGCTAATTTGGCCATAGCTCCATTACAGAGCAATTGTGCGACATACTCAGAGTTTCTAAGCGAAATAATAATGCAGATGATGCATTTCGAGATGTTTGGGTGTGGGGAAGGTATCCCCGGTAAAAGTCTTTCCCGGGCCTTCAACACTAACGCACGTTTACACCACATTGAGCCTAACGTGATCGCTCTCGCTCTCGTTCTCGAACTCGACGCCATCACTTACGCGTTCTGTTGTTATGTTGATGTAAAGATGAACATTCTTCCCCGTTGGGACGCGTACTGCGCCCTGTTCGTAAGGGTTGATATGAATACCAGGGAAATCTAACCTTCTCTATCGTGGGTATATATAGACAGCACAGCTCAAGCTGTACGAGATGCATTCTTCGAACAATCTTCGCTTGAGCAGACCGACTAACACTTTATGCCTTCGTTCATCAGTCTCACTATTGGCGCGTTAAGCATCGCTGCTTTCGCTACCAATCCTCGAGCTTTATCCCTTAGCGAAGTCTGTACCGCAGCGTTCGTCACCCCATCAGTGCCTGCAGAAAGTTTTTTACCCGGTATCACTATCGACAAGTCCTCAGTCACCACGGCACTCGTGACAAACTATACCGGGTCAAACGATTGGTACATCACTCAAAGCATATCTTACTGTAATGTCACGTTTGCCTACTCGCATAACGGCATCCAAGACGATCTAGTCTATGTCAGTTTCTGGGTTCCTGAGCCTGACAAGTTCGAGAACCGGTACGTGACGACGGGAGGCAGTGGACTCTCTATCAATGCGGTAGGTCTCTTGCTTTTAGCATCAAGATCGAAGGACAACAAGACTGATTTCACGTAGGGCGCTGTCTCGAACCCTACCGGCATCATTGTTGGCGCAGTATCTGGATACACGGACGGCGGATTTGGTGGCTTCGATTCCTCGTGGGATAAAGTGTTTCTCCTTGCAAACGACACTATCAATTGGCAGTCGGTTTATATGATGGGCTACCAGGCTCACTGGGAGCTCGCTACTCTAGGTAAAGAGTTCACCAAAAACCTGTTCAATGTTTCAGATAAGGTCTACTCCTACTATCAAGCATGCTCCGAGGGCGGCCGCGAGGGCTGGAGCCAGCTTCAACGGTTTGCCGATCTGTTCGACGGTGCGACGATCGGTGCGCCAGCGCTACGATATGGCCAACAGCAGGTCAATCATTTGACCGCGGCTATCACCGAACAGACTCTGAACTACTATCCATCACCCTGCGAACTCGAAAAGATTGTCAACCTTACCATCGCTTTTTGCGATCCTTTGGACGGACAAGCCGACGGGGTTGTGTCACGATCTGACTTGTGCAAATTGAACTTCAACGTCAGCAGTGCCATTGGCGAGCCTTTTTACTGCGCCGCTTCTTTAGGAGGTTCGTCAGGTCCAGACAAACGCCAGATTGGTGGTGGGAGCACCACTCCAGAGCAGAACGGAACAGTCACAGCCCAAGGCGCGCAGCTTGCACAGACACTCTGGAACGGCCTCCACGACTCCAAGGGGCGACGCGTGTACATTTATTACCAGCCAGGCGCTGATTTCGGCGATGCTAGCACTTCTTACAATTCAGACACGGGAGCATGGGAGGCATCCATCACAGGACTTGGTGGTCAGTGGGTGGCCCAATTCCTCCAACTCCAGGATGTCGACAACTTGAGCACCCTCGACAACGTAACATATGATACGCTCAAGGAGTGGATGATTTATGGCATGCGAAAATACGGAGACTCGCTGCAGACTACAGAGCCTGATGTTAGTGCCTTTGCCAACGCCAGCGGCAAGGTGATACACATCCACGGAGAGCAAGACCCTTCTATCCCTGCAGCGTCGTCAATCCACTACTATGAGTCCGTTCGCAACGTAATGTTTCCAAACATGACATTCAAAGCCAGTACAGAGGCCATGGACGAGTTTTACCGCCTCTACCTAGTCCCAGGCGGCGCTCACTGCGGTGTCAACAGTGCTCAGCCTGGGGGTGGTTGGCCTGCGACTACGCTACAAACTATCATTGAGTGGGTAGAAAATGGTATTGCGCCAACGACCCTGAGCAACACTGGTGCTACTACTCCAGAGCTCTGCAAATGGCCTTTGCGACCGTTGTGGTCTAATAACGGGACCACATTCGATTGTGTATTTGAAGAGGCATCTTACAGAAGCTGGATTTACGATTTCGATGCTTACTCTACGCCTTTGTATTGATTTCCTTCCGCTGCCCATTGGCCATGATCATAGAATTCGACTGCAATCTTATAATAGCGCGAGGTCTGCCACTTGTGAGTAGAAAGCCTTATCCCGGATAAACTTGCCTACGAGCTGCAGATTATTGCATAGCGCCTCACTTGTCCAATAGATGAGCCGTGTACTTTGGGGCAATGAAATTTAGTGCACTGTCAAACAACTGTTCATGGATTGCATTGTTTTAGGACCTTGTCTAAGAGTTCCCGTATCTAGCTGCGATTATAGAGCTTGTTACACATGTCCATCACAGCAACGACACAAAACACTATTGACCTTTGTGCAATCGACCATCGTGTCTATTCACGAGTACCTCTCTACTGGAGCGAAGAAGACAGTGCTCCGATCGTCTCACAGAGCAGTTTGTTGATTCTCTCCGCACTCTCTGACGTTATGATATGTTCGTTACCCCTAACCACAATCCTAAGCCCGTCTCCAAGTGGGTAGGATACCACAGTAAGAATGCAAGGCACCGAATCAGGGTTTTGAAACCAATGGAGCCTAGAGCTGGTGCCTTCAAAGTTGAATTCGGGATGTTCATTCAGGTTCTGGTGCTGGAACACGGAGTCGTACTCTGTATCGGCCGGCCAGCCTGTAGAGGTGCGGACTATTTCATCAAACCCCATCGAATCTGCTTCACCGAGTGCGATGTACTGTTCTTGAATTGAACGTATTAGTTCAGTCGAAGTTGTCTTTGCATGCAACCGTGCGCGAACTGGGATGATGTTTAGACACGGGCCGACAATCTTGGTGATGGCCGGGATATTAGCATTGCGGCCAGCGACCATGTATCCATAGACGATATCTTCTTCTCCAGTGAGTTGTGAGAGAACTTTTGCCCAGGCGGCGCTGACGAGGGAAGCCAGAGTAAGACCGGTCGGGACATGAGGCATGCCGATGATGTTTTCTGTCTGAACCTCAATTGGAGTTATGTCATGTCGAATGCTTGGACCGAGCAACGGGGTGGCTTTGGTCATTCGCGAACCGTGCAGGACATTACGCCAGTGCAGGGCTGAGACTGACTTTTTGCCCCGAGTATAAGCCAGATAGGTGGAGTGGTTGTGCGCAGGCTCCACGGACTTTCCGGAGTAGATGGTAAAAAGTGCTTTCACGAACGACGGGAAACAAACACCGTCGTACTGAGCGTGCGTGATGCGAATTGCCAGAAGGTGTTCATTGGAGGTGCCTCGTATCAGCATGAAGGCAGTAGCCAACTCCAGGGGATCAGTGGTCCGACTGTCCTCCAAGCAGACAGTGTCAGCTGCTTCTTCAAGAGACATGTCCAGATGAAACTCCGTAAAAGGTACGTGTGGTTTACGAAGGACAGTTTGCCAAAGTACCCCGTCGACGTAAACAAACTTTGTTCGGAGAATGGAGAAGTGTTGGACGAGAGTGGGGATGCTGCGTCGAAGGCGGGAGGCGTCAACGCGGGTCCCCAGATTGAGGAAGAAGTAATTGAACGCCAGGGGTTGGATGTTGACGCCCCGGGAGATGAAAAGATTCTGCATCCATGTCGTTGGAAGGATGTCGATAATGTCGTTTCCGTTGACATTGGACGTATTCTTGGGGATGGCGTGAAGAAGACAGTCTCTTTGGGTTGTCGAGAGAAGGGAGAACGGCTGAATTGACTTCTGTTCACCTTCATGTTGAGAAAATTGAGCCACAGTCGCCAGGTTGACGAGCTTAGGGTGCTGGAAGATGTTTGCGATAGTAAGGTGAATCTCTTCCTCGCGCGCTGCAGCGACTATCTTCATAGCAGCAATCGAGTCTCCGCCCAGTTGGAAGAAGCTATCTTCTAGCCCAATACGACTAGCTTCGATTCCAAGTACCCGCGATAGTATGCGCTGTACTTTGAGCTCTGCAGTGCTTAGTCCCCGTTGCAGACCTCCCTGGTTAACTTCTGTCTCCGTTCTTGTTCTTTGTACAAGAGCTTTCCGATCTACTTTACCATTCTGGTTGATCGGAAGTTGGTTCAACACTTGGATAGATTGCGGAACCATGTATGAAGGTAGCTGAACTTTGACAAGCTCATCCAGTTGCTGTTGGACTTCCTTGACCAGCTGCTGTCGCATTGGCTTGTTGCTCAAGGTCTGTCGTCGGCGGTCGGCATGATCGGTTGGGAATGAAAACATCAACCCTACCTTGTCACTCCCATCATTGATTTGACGAGGGTAAAATATAGCATCCAGACCGCCATGCTGTGAGTATTGTCTGTTCCAACTGATCTGCACTTGACAGCCTGCTGCTTTAGCCATCTCGTCAAGGTCAGCGGCAGAGAGGCTTGGTATCCCCTTAGCTTGTCGATTTATGTGAGCAGTCCAATCCGTGTGGACTGGTTTTCTGGCCTTTCCGTCGCCCAATGCGCTCAGCAGGCAGTTTCCAAAGAGCGTCTTGCTATGTGATATGTTGCTCACGGCTAGAGAATGTGTGCTTGAAACATCCTTGATGCGCTGCTGAAGAGAGTCATGGTTCAGGCCCTGTTCCTGGAAATCAATCCATTCATTGTCAGGGATAGTTCGGAGTCCTCCGCACGGTGGCTCCCAGGATCGAGAGTAAACGACTGCCGTGTAGCGGTAGGAGCTAAGCTCGTTTGTCGCTCTCATTCTCTTGGGCTGAATCTCAACATGCTGGACCAGATCAGGGAGACGATGCGTCAGTGAAGTAAAGAAGCCAGGATCGACCAACAGCTCTTGCTCGATCTGTTCCATATCCTCGACCAGACGTCGTAGATCCTTTTGACTAGCTCTTTCGCCAGCCATGAAGAGCGCTCTGGCTGCATAGAATTCCCGGCGCAGGGCATAAGAACGAATGTCCCCAAAGAATAACGTTTTGACCCCATCGACCTTGAGTAAGTCTCGAACCACGTTGAATAGATATCCTTGGCTGGGAAAGTACTGAACCACAGAGTTCAGAACAACCAAGTCGGCCTGGAGCGGCTGGTCCACTTTGCTGATGTCGGCCGCTGTAGCCTTATACATCTCCACTTTGTTGGCAAGCGAGGGTATTGACCTGGCTGTTCCCGTAACAAAGTCGACTGCCTTTCTTGACGGCTCAAACCCAGTATAGTGTTTCAAACTATCTCTGAGGTTGAACAGGATCATGCCAGATCCTGATCCGATCTCAAGAACGTTTCCCAATTGCCCGCCAACCTTGTCGTGGATCGAACCGATGGTCTCTTCCAACCACTCCTTCATTTCGGTCTTGTCGATGTCGGTGCCATCGTACATTGACGTCCATCCGATGAAATCTTGGCCCACTGTCTCAGACTGGATACCGATGATTGGAGCATATGTCTCGGTATCGAAGCGGTGTTCCCACGCGTTCACATGCTGTATCTGGTTGTCATCGCTGTTCTGCACGCTACGCATCTCGAAGTCTTCTTTGAGTGTGATGTAGCCAAAAAGTCGCTGGTTCTTGTCTTTTCGTTGTTCTGCTACAACAACTGCGTCGCGCACCAACTCATGCCCACGAAGGACAGTCTCAATCTCTCCTAGCTCAACACGATTGCCTCGGATCTTTACTTGCCCATCAATGCGACCAAAGAATTCCATTTCCCCATCTCGAGGCCGCTGGCGGACATAGTCCCCAGTGCGATAAGCTCGCATTGTTTGGTGTCCGATTGTGATAGTCACAAAACGATCAACATTGCGGCTAGGATCGGTATATCCTCTGGCAACACCATCTCCAGTAACAACAAGCTCTCCGACAACTCCAAGTGGCACAAGGTTTTGTTCCGGATCCATCACGTATGCTGCTGAGTTACTGATAGATCGTCCGATAGGCACACCATTGACACAATCCTCATCCTCAGACAGAATATACAGTGTGCTCATGACCGAGTTCTCAGTTGGACCATATGCATTGGCAACGACTTTGTTTCTCACAAGATGTCGTGCCATGAAAACGTCGTCTATATCAGCTCTGTCTCCTGCTACAAGCAGGGTATCCAAGTTGCCTATCGTATCTGGGGATTCAGCCAGGATGTAATTCAGCAGAGCGGGTGTGATGAAAGCGATCCGAATCTGGGATTCTCTAAACGCGCGTAATAAAGCATCCTGGTCTAGCACGGTTGTCGCATCGATACAAACGAGTGTACCTCCGTTGAGGAGACATGTGTAGATCTCCCAGGAAGACCCATCGAAAGCAAGATTTGCCATATGAGCCATCGCTCCGGATGATCTGAAGTGCTCCATTTGATCGTGGTGTGCCAAACGTACTATGCCGCGATGTTCGACCATGACTCCTTTGGGTTGACCAGTAGAGCCAGACGTAAAGAGAATGTAAGCCAGACTAGAGGCAGTAGGTCTGAGAGTAGGATCCAGTTCGTTCCTTGTAAACTCAGCATCTTCATTTGCGTCTAAGATATCGACAATATGGGCGAGTTCAACACCTTTGAGTCCAGTACCTGGCAGTGGGATTTTCGGGCCAATCAAGACCAATTTGTTGCCTTCAATGGTCGAGAAGATGGACTCCATCCGTTTTTCGGGCGCTTTGTGATCGAATGGTAGATAGGCCAAGCCAGCTTTCAGGATGCCAATGAAAGCAACGATTGCTTGACAACAACGATGTGCCAGAACACCAACTGCTGTTCCAGGGGCAAATGACTTCGTCGCTAGGAACTTTGCTAGCTTTTCTGATTGTGAATCTAGCTGTGCGTAAGTCAAGTCTGTTGATGTGTCCTTCACGGCCACCCTTGAAGGTTGCATAGCGGCTTGCTGGCGGAAGACGTCCACGATGCTGGAATTCCGGGGATAGGCTGTTTGATGCATGCGGAGGAGCCCCATTTGGTCGAGCTGAGTGTGGGCCTCAACGGTCATGAGTGGCATTACGGCGATCTGTGTCTCTGGCTTGTCGAGACAGTTGTCGAGGATGCTGATGAAGACAGATGCTAGCGAACGTATAGTCTCGGGGACAAAAAGCTCCTCCGAGAAGTATATATAGCCTTGGAAACCATTCTTTTCCTGGAAGAAATGGAACTCGAGATCGAATCGTGAGGTCGCTAGGCCTTCTATAGCTTCTGTCTCGACGCCCTCAAAATTGAGCTTCCCTATGTCTTGCTGTGAGTGAACAGCGAAGGCGACCTGCGCGAGAGGGTTGCGTGCAGAGTCCCTGTCCCCTTGCAATGCAGAAACAATACTTTCAAAAGGTACGTCCTGGTTGGCAAGGGAGTCTACTACCGTCTTGTAGGCATGCTGCAATAGCTCTTCGAAGGTTTCATCCTGGATCTTCATTCGGATGCACTGGATATTGACGAAAAACCCAATCAGGTCTCCGACCTCTGGGCGACTTCTGTTCGCATTAGGGACTGCGATAGTTGCATCATCTTGGTTGGTCAAACGATAGTGTGTGGCTCTGAATACGGCGAGGAGGACGACAAATGGAGTCATTCCACGTTGCCTAGCAAATCTTTGCAGCCTGTTATAGAGCTGATGGCTGATGTTGAGTCTCTGCGTTCCCGCTTTACCAGACAGAGTCATTGGTCGTGGTTTATCGTAGAGGAATTCTGCTGGCCGACTTCCGTCTAATTGATTGATCCAGTAGTCCAGCTGCCGTCGATGTTCTTGAGCTTGCTCCGGTAGTCGCTGCCAGACAGAAAAGTCTCTGTATTGAATGGGTAAAGGTGGCAAGCAGAAGATGGGATCTTCGTTGCGGATGGCGGAAGCATATAGAGCGCTTAATTCTTTCTTCAGAACATCAACTGACCAGCCGTCTGAGACGATATGATGCATGACGATCGATAGAACGAGAGAAACTTCGTTGATACGATATACTGATATCCTCCAGCCAGGCTCGTACCGAAGATCGAATGGTGTCTTCTGATCCCGTTCAAGTGCTTCTAGCAGAATCTTGTCATCGTTTGAACCAACGTCGATGACATTTAGTTCTCTTCCTCCACAGAAAGGATGAACTTCCTGTAGGCTCTCGCCATTGTTGGTGGCGAACGTTGTCCTTAGTGTTTCATGACGATGCTCTATCGCCTGTAGTGCAGCCTGAAGTGCAGGGAGTTGGAGTGGACCTTTGACGTGTACTGCAAGGTGCATGAGATACCAATCTAGTCCTGGGTGCAGTTGTTCTAGGAACCAGAGTCGGCCTTGCGCAAACGATTGATGGACGGGTCGCCGATGATCAATTTTGGTGATTGCACTGTGACTTGAAGTGGGAGGGTCGACCAATCGGTTGGCTAGCTGACCCAGTCGCTGCACCTGGAAAACGTCTTGAACAGAAAAAATCAGGTCGACATTACGCGCCTCGCTCACAAGCTTCATAGCCGAAATTGAGTCGCCCCCTAGTTGGAAGAAGCTATCGTTCAGTCCGATGGAGGTAGCATCAATATTCAGCACTTGAGCCCATAGCTTCTGCAGCGCCATCTCATACTTTGTTTCTGGTTTCCGATTGGAGCTCTCGTTTTCCTGTGTGCGTAAACGCGCTAGTTGGTCGGTCGAAAAAGAGCCTCCGATCTCGCGTAGTCGCCTTCGATTTATCTTACCAGAGGTTGATATCGGGAATTCAGTGAGTCCAAAGTAAACCTCAGGCACCATGTTTCCGGGTAGTCGCTGAGATAGCTCGCTGTCTACTCGGGCTGGGTATACGACGTATACCCCAGAGTCCCCCTCGGACAGCTTGCCATTGAGCAGCTCGGGATTTGCCTTCAGGAATGCTGCGACCATCGGCTTTCCTCCTGTCGGCGAGATGAGTTCAACTGCTATTTCCTTGATATCTGGGATATGTTGGTAGAGACAATGTTCAATCTCGGCAAGCTCAATGCGTTGGCCTCGCACTTTGACCTGACCATCTTTGCGGCCTACATAGACCAGATCACCATCTGCAGTGTGGTAAACCAGGTCGCCTGTCTTGTACAGTCTACCTCGCCGCCCACTGTAGCCTTCAAAGCCTCGAAGCAGCCAGAGAGGATCATGGACAAAAGCTGTCTCTGTCTTCTTCGCATCATCCAGGTAGCCGCGGGCTAGGTTTGGTCCCTCAACCAGCAGCTCTCCGATTGCGCCTGGCGGTGCTAGTCTATTGTGATCATTAGGATTGACCACCCAGCCAACTGACGCAATCGGCTTCCCGATGGGTTCCGGATCGAGTCCCTTCATATCGGGACTTGCGACACAAGAGACGCAACATTCAGTGGGCCCGTAGGCGTTGATCAGTCGTACACGGCCACTCCAGATATCGCAGTCTGAAGCGTTGACCTTCTCGCCGCCAAGAACCAATGTCTTCAATGATACTATCTTCTGTGGGTCTAAAATCCTCGCGACGGCTGGAGTTAACAGCGCCCATGTTACTTTCATCGTATTGATTGTGTTGACGAGATCGTCGCGGCGCTGCGTCTCAGAAGGGATGCATATACATGCGCCATGTAGGAGTGTTGTGATGATCTCTAAGATGCAGGCATCAAAGGTGTAGGCAGCGAATTGAAGAACCCGTGTATCCTCCGTGATACCGAACGCTAATCCTTGACATGAGCAACTCGTGGAAACGGCCTTATGTTCCATTTGAACACCCTTAGGTACTCCCGTGCTACCAGAGGTAAAGATGACATACGCTGTATTGCCTGGCTGCACTGCTGTCTTAGTGCTGTAAGGCTTTGTCGTCAACTGGTCAATAAAGTGTCCGGTAATTTCCACGACAGTGGGGATGCATTCAGACCAGAGATTGGCGTACTGAGATGATGTGAGCATCGTGTTGGCCTTAGTTTGCTTGAAGATTTCTCGATGTCGAGATACCGGATGGCTCGGGTCTAAGGGCGCAAAGGCACCCCCTGCTTTTAGCACAGCCAGCATGGCTACGACCATCCAAATTGACTTTTCGAAACACAAGGGCACTATGGTTTCCGGTTTGACACCGATGTGGACCAAATAGGTTGCTAGCCGCGATGATCGTTCGTCAAGCTCTTTATACGTCATTACACCATCCCAAGCACAGATTGCACCCGCTTCCGGCTGTGACTTCGCTCGGTTCGAGTAAAGATCGTGGACACAGCGATCGATAGCTGGTGGTGGTCTCTGGTTCCACATCCAGAGCTGCTGTTCATCATCTTGTGTAATCATTCCAATATCCATGACTCTTGTTCTTGAATCACCTCGCGCTAGCTGCTGCATGACGAAGCTTAGCTGGCCTATCATTCTCTCAACTTGCCACTGTTCGACTAAACCCGCATCGAAACTGGCCGTGATTTTGACACCCTCTTTAGCCAGCTTGCACTGCACCATCAGCGCATACGTCGTGAAGTCCTGCAGACCCGAGCCAAACTCCCACGTCCCAAATATATCGTCCGATTGGAAGGCGTCCTCTGCAGGCTGCACTATTAACAACGTCTGGAAATTGCACGCATGTTCGGTGTCTGGTCCAAGCTTGGCGATTCGCTGTAGGCCTGTTTGCTCGAACGGGATCATCTCAGTTGCCTGTTTCTGTACTGTTTCAAGAAATTCTAGTATAGTCGAGTCTCTCTGCAACCGTATCCGAACAGGCACTGTTGCAATAACAGGACCCACCAAGGACTCGATGCCAGCCACTGGTGCGTTTCGACCAGTGACTGTCGCCCCAAACACAACGTCGTCTGAGCTGGTGTAGCCGCTAGCAACGATTGCCCAGGCAGCACGGACAAGTGTCGAGATAGTAGTATTCGAGGTTCTCTTGGGAAGTGGTGGGCAACAATACTCCGCTGTTGCATCCGCAACTGGCTGCTGCACCCCAGACACTAGTGGTGGAAAGACATTCGCGTCGCAGTCGCTCAGTGTGGTTCGCCAGTATTCTGCGAGAGGGTCTTCGTCCATCTGACGGAGATACTTGATGAAGCTGTTGAAGCCAAGCTGCTTTCCCGGTTCCGCGCCATTGTATGCTGTCTGCACAGCACTCAAGATATGGTTGAGCGCCCAACCATCGTATATCGCGTGGTGAATTGTCCATACGAACCACTTTTTTTCTCTGCGAGTGTCCCGAACAAGACCGTAGCGTGCAAGCGGCTTGCCAAGCTGCATAGATGACAGCTTGTCTCGAGCTAGATAAGTAGCGAGGTCGTCTGCATCTGCCCACTTTATCTTTTCCGCTATGACAGCCTGCAAAAGTCCAAGGGTATCATGCAGGACAATTCTCGTTCGCAGGATTTGGAAAGACTGAACCGTCTTCTCCCATGCAATCCTAAAGGCTGTCTCATCTACTTCCTCCCGCAACTCCAGCACGGTCTGCATGATGTAATCCCCCGGCCGCTTCACAGTCAGCGAGATCAAGCCTTCCTGAAGCGGCGAGCATGGGTAGATATCCTCCACAATACCCCTATCGATGTCACACTTGACTGCCACCTCGTGGTGTGTCTGCGTTGCATCGACCTCGTCATCCAGGAGAGAGAATGGGACGATGTTGTCATTGGGAACGTGAACATGCTCTTGCGCTACGGCAGCCAATTGGATAAGTTTGGGATATTGGAAGATATTTGCCACGGTGAGTCGGATATCTTCGTCTCGAGCTAAAGCAACTAGCTTCATGGCCGCGATTGAGTCTCCACCTAGCTGAAAGAAGCTATCATCTAGACCAATGCGGTCCGAATCGATGCGAAGTACGCGCGCGATTAACTGCTGGATTTTTAATTCTGCCCTAGTGAGCTCTCTTTGAAACTCCTGGCCTTTTGCAACCTGGATCTCGGTTCGCTGTGTGAGGGCATTCCGGTCTATCTTGCCGTTCTGGTTGGTTGGCATGGTTTCGAGGAACGTAACTGTTTGGGGGACCATATAGGCAGGCAGCTGAGCTTCAAGCATCTCCTGGAGTTGTCTTTGGATTCTCTGTAGGGTTTGTTGCCGTAATGGCATGCTACTCAGACTGTGTAGGGGTCGCTCTGCGTGGCCGGTAGGAAATTGGAACATCACCCTGTTCTCTCCTTCACGCGGCGGGTATCGATGGAAAATAGCGTCAAGACCACCGCACTGGGAGTGCTGCCTGCTCCAACTAACTTCAACGCGGCAGTTGGCTTCCTTCGCCAATTCATATAGGTCAGTAGCAGACATGGATGAACAGCACTGTGCCTGCTGACACACTGATGAGTACCAGTCTTGGGGATCAGACAACTCTGCCACTGTGTTGTCTATCGATTCGATCAGACACCGACTCACGATCGTCTTACTATACGGGATGTTGCTCACAGCTATGATGGATGAGCTAGAATTGCTTTGCAACCGTCCCAAGAGAGATTGGCGATCTAGCTTGTGCTCCCTGAAGTCGATCCATTCATCGTGTCCCACGTGTCGAATCTCCTGCTTTTGCTTTCGCCCATCTCGCGGCTTAACATGGATAACCGCGGCGTAACGAAAGCAACTTAGCTCATTTGTCGCCTTCATCTTCTTTGGCAAAATCTCGACATGCTCCACTAGGTCTGGCAGACGCTCAGGCAGAGCAGTGAAAAAGGCTGGATCCACCAGGAGCTCTCTTTCGACCAGCTCCATGTCAGTTATCATGCGACTGACTTCAGCCTTGTCTGCACTGTCGCCAGCCATGATCATTGCCCGAGTTGCAAGAAATTCTCGGTGTAGCGCATAAGACCGCACATCGCCAAAGAAGATGGTAGAGACGCTCTCTATTCCCAGCAGTTGTTGTGTGGTCTTGAAAAGGTATTCAAGGCTTGGGAAGTACTGAATGACTGAGTTGATGACGACAAGGCTTGCATCGATATGTTCTAGTCGATCGACCTCCGTCGCTGTGGTCTTGTAGACTCGAACCTTGTCTGCCAACGCGGGTACTGATCTGACTGTGTCTTTGACGAATTCCACAGCTCTTGAAGATGGATCCAACCCGATATAGCTTTCTAAACCATCTCCCAGGTTGAAAAGAACCATACCGGTACCTGTGCCTACCTCAAGCACCTTGCCAGGTAGATGACCGTTGAGCATCGTGTCGATCGTGTCGTCTAGCCACTCGTTCATCTCCACTTTGTCGATCGCGCTGCCATCGTACATAGATGTCCATCCGATGAAGTCTCGCCCAATGGCTTCAGGAAGCACTTTAGAGATTGGTGTATAGACTTTGGAGTCGAACTGGTTTTCCCATACGTCGACATGCTCCGATTCGTCGATGCCGCTTGGCCTTTCGTCAACCAATTCGTCATCCTCGTAGACTGTGACGAAAGCGGCCAGTCGAGCAGCCTCATCTGTATTTTGCTGCCGCTGCACCACAGCTACAGCCTCTCTTACAGACCCGTGGCTACGTACAACGTGCTCAATCTCACCCAACTCGATGCGATGTCCCCGAATCTTGACCTGTCCGTCCATCCGGCCGAGATACTCTAGCTGGCCGTCTGCAGGACGATATCGCACGTGGTCACCGGTACGGTAAGCCTTCACGACCTCGCCCCCAATTTGTATCGTTATGAAGCGGTCTATGTTGCGCTCAAGGTCGGTGTATCCACGTGCCAGGCCGTCGCCCGTGACTACAAGCTCCCCAACGACCCCTAGCGGAACAAGCTGCTGCTTCAAATCCATGACATAAGCGCCAGAATTGCTAAGCGCACGGCCAATGGGCGCGCCGTTCGGGTACTGTCCTTCTTTTGAAAGCACAAAAGTTGTGCTAAACGTTGTGTTTTCGGTTGGCCCATAGCCATTGATGATCTTGCCTGTGCGAAGTGTTTTCATAGAAAGGATGTCGTTTGATTGAAGTGCTTCACCCCCAACGCAAAGCATATCGAGACCAGCGAACAGTGCAGGCGATTGCTGAACGTAAGTCCTGAAGAGAGATGGTGTCATGAAGGCTGTTCTGACATGCTCTCGACGAAATGTTCGTAGCACAGCCTCTGGATCCAACACTGTCATCCTGTCGATGCACACTAGCGTCCCGCCCTGCAGTAGTGAAGCATATATCTCCCATGTAGAGACATCAAAGGCCAGGTTCGTCATGTGCGCCATGACTGGCGAAGCCGGCAAATGTTTCACAAAGTTATTGTCCCTCACTAGGCGCACGATACCACGGTGTTCAATCATGGCCCCCTTTGGTTGACCGGTTGACCCTGACGTAAACATAACATAGGCAAGGCTATTGGCTGTGGGATTGACGATATTATGAGAGGCGGACCCTTCGTGAGTTTGCTCATCCAACGCTTCTGTGATGCGTACGAATCTAACGTCACTGATGTCCACGCAAGGAGGCTGTACGTCTTCGCCTAAAAGCACAAATTTGGGGCCTGAGAGTGAACCAAGAATTGTACTCATGCGTTTGGTCGGAACCTTGACATCGAACGGTAGGTATGCTAGACCCGCCTTCAGAACAGCCAAAAATGCGACGATAGTCTGACAGCTGCGCCCTGCTAATACGCTGACCAGTGTCTCCGGAGCGAGCGATTGTTTGGCTAACCACTGAGCAAGAATGTCAGATTTCTTGTTCAGCTGAGTATAAGTCATGGTTACTGATGCGTCCTTCACAGCAATCCTGGACGGACAGAGGGAAGTTTGCTGGCGAAACAGATCGACTACGCTCGACTCTCGTGGATAATCCGTCTTTTCAACCTGGATCAGACCCATGCTATTGAGCTTCGATAATTCGACGTCGTGCAACAATGACAAGGAGGCAATCGCAGCTTTCGGCTCTTGGAGGCACCCTTCGAGAACGATTTGGAAGATCGACAGCATGTTGTCGATCGCCTCTGGACAATAAATGTCGGTGGAGTAGACAACTTCACCCTTCAGGCTGTCTTCTCGCTGGAAAAAGTGGAATTCAAGATCAAATCTTGACTTCGGTGCGTTATCCAGGCTCTCTGTTTCCAGGCCCTCAAGTGTCAGTTGTCCCAAGTTGCGCTGGGAATGCATAGCAAAAACAAGCTGTACAAGGGGATGACGAGACAAGTCTCTGCTGTTCTTGAGCTTGGACACAATGTTCTCAAACGGGACGTCTGCGTTAGCAAGTGAAGCAATTGTTGCTTCATAGACTTGCTGAACCAGTTCTTCAAACGATTGGTCCCCGTCAATCGTAGTCCGAAGGCATTGCAGGTTGACAAAGAAACCAATCATATCTTTAAGCTCCCATCGATCCCGATTGGCGTTCACAGTGCCGATAGTTGCATCGTTTTGGCCAGTGAGGCGGAAGTGTGTAGCTCTAAAGGCCGCAAATAGCACCATGAACTTTGTGACTCCTTTCGCTTTGCAGAACTGGAGTAGCTGAATGTATAGCGGGCCACCAATCTGGATCGTTTGCTTGGAAGCCTGTCCAGATAAAACAGCTGGCCGAGCTTTGTCGCAAAGCAGCTCAGCGGGTCTGCTGGTATTCAGCAGATTGAACCAATAACTGAGCTGGCTCTGGTGTTTGTCAATATGAGCTTGTTGCCTCTGCCACACAGAGAAGTCTCGATACTGGATGGGTAGAGCTTGGACATGAAGAAAGGGGTCCTGGCCTTGTATCGAGGCTGAGTAGAACGCGCCCAACTCGCGCGTGAACACATCAGTAGACCAGCCATCAGAGATAATGTGGTGCATTATGACAGATAGCACGTGGTCTTCGTTGCTGATGCGATAGATTGACACTCGCAAACCGGACTCCTTGCGCAGGTCAAAGGCAGTTGTCTGGTCCTGATGCAGAACTTCTGCGAGGCTTTGCAAGTCTATGTCGGTGACACTCAGCTCCTTGGCATGATAGGGGTGAACTAGCTGCATGCTTGTATCCCCAATGGTCTCAAATGTCGTCCGAAGGGTCTCATGCCGGTTCTCAATTGCGTTCAGCGCCGATTGGAGCGCTGCCAGCTCCAGAGAGCCCTTCATACGCACAACAATCGGCATGAGATACCAGGTAAGACCAGGGTGAAGTTCTTCCAAAAACCACATCCGACCTTGTGCGAATGATTGTGCAACAGGTCCGACATGGCTAACAGGCGGAATGATGGTATCAGAAACGTCGAGGGAAGGGATCGCTGCAGAGGTCAACTCATCTAGCGTGGGATTCTGGAAGATGACTGCCACACTGATGTGTACTCCTAATCTGCGCGCTTCACCCACCAGCTTCATAGCTGCTATTGAATCGCCGCCTAGATCGAAGAAGCTATCATTCATACCAATTGAACTGGCGTCAATGCTCAGAACCTGTGCCCAGAGACGATGCAAGATCTGCTCTTTCTCAGTCTCTGGTTGTCGCTTTGGATCATCGCTATACGTTCGAAGCTGGGCCAATTGTTGTGCAGAAAAGGAGGCGCCAATTTTGCGCAGCTTCTGTCGGTCCACTTTGGCGGATGTTGTCAATGGAAGTTCCGCTACGGCAAAGTACACCTCAGGCACCATGTCCTTGGGCAAATACTGAACCAGCAACTCATCCAGATAGGTTGGGAAGATCACTTGCACTTCCAAGTTACCGTTAGAAGTCTGGGGGACGAGTGCATGGCGTGGCTCTTCGCTTAGCTGCACGAATGCTGCAACCATCGCTTTTGCTTGGTCACCTGATGGTAGGATGACTTCAGCCGCAACTTGTTTGATGCCTGACATGCATTGGTTGAGTTGATGCTCAATCTCACCCAACTCAATTCTTTGACCCCTCACCTTAGTCTGGCTGTCCTTACGACCCGCGTAAACCAGATTGCCGTCGGCATCATAGTAGACTAGATCACCAGTCTTGTATAGTCTTCCCTGTCGTCGAGTGGATTCATCGTTGCGGTTGCCTTGCCTCAGCCAGACAGGGTCATCAACGAAATCAGCCTCGGTTTTCGAAATGTCGTTGAGGTACCCGCGTGCCAGGATCGGTCCCTCTATCAGAAGTTCGCCAATTGTGCCAAATGGCACTAGCTTGTTGTGGTCTTCCGGGTCGGTAACCCAACTAAAAGAAGCCATTGACGTGCCTATCGTTCCCGATCGGAAATCTCGGCCGGTATTGCAATACGAAGTGCACCAAATGCTACACTCCGTCGGGCCGTAAACGTTCACCTTCACGATATTGTCACCCCATCTCTTCCAGTCAGCGTCGTCCACCCGTTCTCCTCCAAGGACGAGCACTCTCAGAGAAGGGACCGCGCTGGGATCTAGTAGACGAGCAACAGTCGGCGTAAGTTGAGCCCAGTTGATGTTATTGTTGTTGATTACTTCGGATAAGGCGTTACGTCGATCGTCTTCCGACGGGACACAAACACAGCCGCCGAATATCAAAGTCGTGAAAATCTCAGCGATACAAATATCGAACGTATAAGCCGCGAACTGGAGTGCTCGGCTGTCGGGTCCAAGTTTCATCTCCATTCCATGGGCAAGGCAACTTGTTGCGATTGATCTATGCTCCAATACAACGCCTTTCGGAACACCAGTACTACCAGATGTGAACATAACATAGACAGCATCAATTGGCTTGACTTTGGACCGGATCTCGTTTTCCCATGGCAATTGATCAACAAAAGCCTTGTCGATTGCCAGAAACTGCAGACCCGAATTTGGCCAGAGAGCGGCGTGATTTACGGAAGTAAGGACCATCTTGGCATTGGTCTGCTTGAATATCTCTTCGTGACGGGCTCTTGGATGCATTGGGTCTAGTGGCACGAACGCGGCACCAGCCTTGAGAACAGCTAACATAGCTACGATTGCCCATATCGATTTCTCAAAGCATAATGGTACCATTACCTCGGTTCCAATGCCTTGAGTGACAAGGTAGCTTGCCAATCGTGTTGAATGCTGATTCAATTGTTCGTAGGTCATCTTGCCGTCCCATGCGTATATGGCGCATGCGTTCGGTCGAGCTATAGCTTGCTCTTCGTATAGGCTGTGAACGCAGCGATTGACCGCTAGCAAAGGTCCGCGGTTTCTCTCCCATATCTTCTCGACATCGAGTTTGTTGACGTCAAACAGTAGCGATCCCGGCATATCGGCTCTTGTTGAATGAAGTTTCCGTGTAACAGAATTTAGATGGGAAGATGACGAGTCGACCGATTTCAATGTATAAAAAGCTGTAACTTGGGATGCAGGAATATTGTTCGAGCATATTTATGTCAGTAGACAAGCTCACAGGAGTTGCTTAACAGATCGAGACTAGTAGATTCGTACAATCTAGATACAACACCAAGGTATCTACCTGACGTAACTCACCGCCTCCTCGATCGTCCATTTGGCTACAATGGCCGAAGTCTGCCGCTCAGATTTCTCGTCTTAATCTAAATGCTTGGGATACATGAAGCATCCTTACTATTCGGACCATCTCGTGTCAGCGAGCGTTACGCGTTCCACCGAGAAAGTACCCCATGGCCCTATAGATTCAGTCGGACATCGCACGTACTTTTTCTTACAACATGATACGCTTGCATTGTGGATACGCGGAGATTTGAGTGATTAGGGAACGATATGTCGACATGCTTGTAGCTCCCTTTCTAAGTTTGGCAAACCGTAGCGGCTTCTCGGCATTCAAAGTTTCGACTTGTTCATCGATGTCCTCGCCATATTAGTTTCATGATGGTTGCCCGAAAGAAGCTCTTCTAGAAGGACGGCTTCCTTAGACCTGAGAGAGATCTCTTTGCGGGTCTATACTATGGCCATCATCCGGCACTTGCGGCTTCGAAGGAGGGATTGAAAATATGGTCCAAGAGTATATCGTGGATTCTCGAATGCATATTGTCCGAAAACCTACCGCTTGTAAGCACGCTAAGGATGGGAAACCATTTTCCCCACCACTGACCCACGAATGGGGTCCTCCCGCACTAATTACCCCAGCGGCTCGACTCGTCCCTTTTCGGGCCGTGCGGGATGTCTTACCCCGTATTACCCGAAAGTAGTCGCGATGCAGACGAGAATTGGAAATCAGAGATGCCCATCATCGATCAGACTCGGTACCTCAGCCGGCGTAACTACGGTCAACTCAACCACTTACATACTCACACGCAACGGCTGCACCTTTCCGATGCAGGTTTCGGCATCAAACAAAGTTTCCGAGCACATCTACTAAATGTACCGTCTAGCGAAGTTACGCGTCATGTCATCAAGCATAGCCCAGCCAGTGCGACACGTATGTGTTCTTCTTTTGGCCGTAACTCCTCATTTCAGCCTAGTATATCTTGGAAGTTACGATGAACCTCAGATAAACGAATTCGAACCAATCGGCATCGGGAGCTTCTCCATTTCGATCTTGACGAGATTGGGTGTGCTAGTCTGCACTGCATGTAGACTTATCAACTCCGCATAATGCTGGACGCATCTTTCAACTTAAATTAGTTTTGCCCCAATAGACTCTATGACTTCTGGTAGTTTCAATACGACAGTTTTCCTCTTCTTTCTGGAGAAGACGGGTACACTCCAAAGATGGAGCCTGAACCTCTAGACCCAAGAGCAATCGGTTTTATGCGTCGAAACCTTGCAATGCTGCGACAAACCCCGATGTCGCTAGTGCTTGCTGGTATCATCCTCTTAGCATCTATATATCTCCCACGCTTCATGTTCAAGTCACAGATGGCGAGATTTCCACTCATCCTAGAGCATCTAAGTAGCGAGCAGCGGCGAGCAAGGTTTCTCGCAGGAGCAAAAGCGCTCTACAAGGATGGCTCTCAGAAGGTATTTCGACACAAGCAGATACATTTCATTCTATTAACTCGCTCCTAGTTTGGGGGAATGGCTTACAGAATGCAAACTTTAGATGGTAAGCGAGGTCTGACAGTACTACAATCGTTCTTACTAAATTCTTCTAGAGCAACAGATTGTCCTTCCTCTTTCCGCATTGACAGAACTTCGCAAAGCACCCGAGGAGGCGCTATCCTTCTACGACATGTTTTCCAAAGTATGCAATCCATGCGACATGAGTGGCGTAGTTGCTCACGCGCACCTAGGGCCTGGAGGAAACCTACACTTATGTCGACATCAGATTTCTACCCGAGGTTGTCGATACAATTAAGAGGGATCTTACACCCAAGCTGAGTAAGCATGAATATAATGCTCCAATATGCGTATCATGCTAACGAAAGCAGCGCAAATTACCTCAAAGATTTGTGATGAGGTTGATGCTGCGCTAGACACATATCTCCCCTCTCACGACAAGTGGACGGAGATCAATGTGTCAAAAACAGCTCTAGATATCATCGCAAAAGTCTCAGCCCACCTCTTCATCGGAAGCGATGTCGCCAACGACCCGGGTTATCTCGAATGTACAAAGAACTTTACCGTCCATTTGGGTGAAGCCACCAGAGCGATCAAAGTCACGCGAGTGTGGCTCAGACCCTTCCTAGCTCCCCGACTGCCAGAAGTGAAACGTCTTCTCGAGACGAGGAAAAAGCTAAGAAGCTATGTCAAGCGTGTGATGGAACAGAGAGAAGCTGAGATCAAGGACCCAGACTGGGCTCCACCGGACGACATGATGCAATGGCTCCTCAATCGAGCTGACCGGCAAAAGGACACCTTGGAAGACTGCACAGCTGCCCAAGTTCTTCTTATACTCGGGACTATCAATGCATCGATGCAGACACTGATTGCCATTTTGCATACGCTAGCAGTGACTCCCGAGTATGTCGAGCCGCTTCGAGAAGAGATTCGAAACACTTTAAACAGTGACGGATCGATTCCAGTCAGTGCGATGAAGGAGTTTGGGAAAATGGACAGTTACTTCAAGGAGGTGGGCATGCATTTTCCGGTTATTATCGGTATGTGATTTCCTCGTTCCTTTGCTTGCTCGATTTCGTTTCTTACGCAAAGCTAAACAAGACTTGCAACAGAACCGTATTTCCGCCGGGTTCGCAAGGGGTTCACTCTGTCAAACGGGCAGTACCTGCCTCCCGGCGTAGCTATAGTGATAGCGAACCCGCTCATCACAGACTCCAAGTACGATACGTTTGACGGCTTTCGACACTACAAGTTACGCGAGGCCAGCGCGCAAAAGGATAAGCCTAACCATCGATGGCTTATTGCAAATGAGACTGAGTTCCGATGGGGCTACGACAACCATGTCTGTCCTGGCAGATTCTATGCGCATAATCTGCTCAAGATTATCTTTGCTAGGATAGTCGAAAATTACGATATCAAGATGCCAGCGAATGTTGAGGGAATAGAGGCTAGGTACCCAATGGTCGAGCACGGGAATGTTGTTATGGAACCAAGAGACAAACCTCTTCTACTCAGGAGGATTAAGAACCATCAGGGTCGCGTAGATTGACGGGTAAAGACAGATGCTTATGCATGCGAAGACCAGCTCGATATGTAGGAACTTCTGTTGAGAGAGCGCATGATGCTATGAGGAGGAGAATGGGGGTTGGAAGGCGTGCAGCTCTGCTTACTATACACATGTGCTTCGTCTACTTCATCACAGTGCAGAACCGCCCATGCTGGTCGCCTCACATGATGTCCATTATCTCTCATGGAGCAGCAATCTTCCAAAAGGCACCAAGGACTCTTCTTTCTAACTAGGAGATGGTGATGCAATCAACTCCACCAAGACTTGCTGGTACTTTCCATGCATCTATACTTCGCAGGGTACGCTAGGAGCACGTGACTGGCCGAAGAAGCAGCCTGCTCCTAGTGTACAGCTTCGAGGTCACCAATGTCTGACGGCGCCACACCTGAAATGGCTTAGAGGCTGCAGTGTAGAATACTGAGTGCATGGAGGGCAGCACGCGGCTGAGCATGGGGAAGCCGCTGGCTGTTGAGCTGGGACCGGACCGACGTTACAAAAAGCATGATTGCGCACATGCTCGGGTTGGACCGCAGCAAACTGGTGGCATGTGCTGTATCTTATGGACGAGATGGCAAAATACTCGCGTATCTGTGTAGTACGCTTGACTGGATCAACCTGGAGCTGTACTTACCATTGCAAGCGATCTACGAGGCCACCCCAACAGGACAGTACATCTGGAAGGGCCGGCGTTGCGAGGTTTTTCTGCTGCGAAAGTCAAGTGGTGCGCTGATTTCCCCACCTTTTTGCCTCGATTACCGCAGAGATGATTTCTTTTTCCAAGCCCATTTTCCCGATTCGGCAATACTAACTAAGCCTTCAACACACCCAAAGACAATTCTTAATCCTTATGCATACCGCTGACACAGCCTTTGAATGGGCATTCTAATGCAAGAAGCTCCTTGCTGCATCTGTAAGACATGCAATGCATCTTATCTTCGTAAGCCGCTAGATGAGAGAGCAGGAACACTCGCTGCGTTCTATGTTTCGCGCCTGGTGTACTTCTATCGACTAGGCATGACAGGACTTGTGTTCTGTATACCAATATAAAACGAGAAGATACCTTCTGCTTCCACGAAAACAGGAGGCTGGGTTTCATCCACGATTATATAGCTCAATCAAGTGAAGAACTATTCGGTAAAGCGGTCAGGAATACAGATCACGGGTTGCATCCTTCAAAAAGCATGCGTTAGTACGCGGAGATCTTCACTCGCCGAAGAAACAATTTGATACGACGATGCTTGTTGCTTTTGATGCACTCCAGTCTCACGCGGCCAATGAACGCTTTGCCCGCTGCGATAGGGGGTACAGAATGCATCGGTTGTTTCCAATGCACGTGAGCTATCTAGGTTTCATGAGCAAACAGAAGCGCATAAATAGAGAGAGAGAGAGAGAGAGACCCGAAAAGCGAGCATCAACTCTTATATCCTCTATCTACTCCTCATTATTACTTTACTCAAGCTCCTTACAACACCGCGATGGCCAACCAAACCCTTTCACGCCCATTCCTCATCGAATTCAACGGTCAATTCGTAGTCAACCCCCAAATGGACGACAACTTGACCTTCGACGGCCGCATCCCAGCCAGCATCGGTGACCGTGCGAACGCCGCTGTTTTCGAGCTCCATGATGGTGTTTTGCACAAAGCTGGCGGACAAGGACCCCCTATGCACTTTGGTCGTTTCCGTATCGAGCCGCTTGCGTTTATGCCAATGCCCGTTTACTGGATCCCACAACGGGAGATGGTGCAGCAGTGCAATTATGCTGGGGAGGAAGATTCGCCCACGGGGTTCGAATCGAGTGGTATGTCAAGCTTTCGTGACAGAGAATGACGATGGCATGGATGGCTGACTTGAATACAGGGTTTCATCTTGGTGTGCTACCCGGCCAGGAAAACCTAGTTCGTGCTATGCCACCGGGTATGTTCCCTGGTAAGTATAAAGGCGGCTGATAGACGTACCTGGAATACAAACACTAAGTATTGTAGGATCCGAGATGAAGGTACATTGGCAGTAATTGAATCTACCCTATCGGTAGAGAAATGTCTTGGTCGCGATCATCGTCATCAGGAACAAGTTCCACTCTAGGAGACATGGCTATGAGGGAGAGATGTATCTGGAATGTCGTGGTATAGGAAACTATATACCGGGATACAAACCCACTCATGTCAAGAGGATCTCGTGAAGTTGTTGTGATGTACAATCCATGAAACGGATCCTAGTCGCTATGATGCTACAACCTTGTCATGACGATGGACAGAGTTGCAGAAGTAAGATCAAGAAGATGGGCGAACCGGTCATCCACAACTAGTTGAATACCAGTTTGAACCTCGTTCTGGGTATTGCTAACTCGAAGTGGCTACCTTTTCGGAACAGCCGCCCATACATGGATCACGAAGACCAGCACCGCTTGCGACAGAGCCCAGTCATGACCTTTTGACCAATGGATCTATTGACTGTACGTTCAGCTTTTACTATCGCCAAAGTGTTCCACTACGCAACGTTCTCGCGCACTGTCTTCGCATCGTGAAGACACAGTCTAACAGAGAACTACCTATACTTCCTTCACGCGATACTCATTACGTCACCAGACTAGATCAGGAAAGTGCCGAAGACATTCTTACCCGATGCATCCTTCTCACTTAGAGACAAACTCTAGTCACCGCTATCAATTCACTATCTTACGATCCAGATCTGCCAACACGCGCCTGAAAACTGTATCAATCCCGACAGATTTTACGTCCCCATTTTCTATACCAATCAACATCGAAGCAATCGGCCCGATACGCTCACCCAAGTGCATTGATCTCGGTATCACCGCCGTATTTCTTTGACCGATATGCCTCTTCGCAAAATGCCTCCTGTCACGGGTAAGCCCATACACGCCTGCTCCCACTCCTGTCTTCTATCTTACTAATCGTGCGCAGTATACGTCCTCAAGAAAGACCGCCTAGCACTCTTGGACGATATTACCGATATTCTCAAGAACGAACGCCTTACGCTATCTTCCCGATGCATCGACAGACTTGGAGACTGTTTGATGGCCAAGCTAGAGCCTACCCTAATACCACACGACCGCAATGACCCTGATCGCGCAATCAACCTGGCGCAAAGCGCCCGCCTTCGAAATATCAAGGCACAAGGCCCATATCGAATAGTAAAACGGACCAAGACTTCAAAGCACACATCGGAGCTCCATCGGAACTCTAAAGTCGTTCGACATGTCCGCCTTGGACGATTCGGCGGTTCAAGTGACGTCCACGAGTCTCGTATGGACGGCGAGTTCATACCTTTAGATGGCGCAACTAACAACGAAGACGCAGACGAATACAAAGCTTTAGCAATCACGGAAGCGGGACAACATAGCGTTGAGTCGCGCAAGGTGCCTTCAGCCGTTTTGCATAATCACCTAGATAGCCCGCGCGACACGCAAGAGTCGTTCATATCCGGTCTCGACGTTGCATTAAAAAACAAGCTTCTGGGAGCTGCAAGAGCGAGAGCGCCAAAGAAGACTAAGATCAGCGCCTGCCTCACTAATCGGCCGCCTTCTAAGAGACACACCTTCGAACACCCCCCGGGAGACACAAATTCATCTTTCTATTTTCCCAATACCGCCCCGGCTTTCTCACAAATGCTTCCCAATGTGGATCAATCTGCATATAGCAAGCCAGTGGAGATAAAGGAGCGTGCAGATGCCCTTGTCAAGGACGAGCCCCTATGCAACACCAAGAATGACTTTCCCACCTTCGATAGCAAGAACCCGGTTCGGCATCAAGCTCATAATTTCGTTCCTGCCCTCAAGATCTCGAATAAGAATCTTAAGTTGGTCGATGAAGCTGAGTATCAGCCTGAAGATGCATCAGTTTCGGTGGAGATAGTGGTGAAAAGTCCTGAGCTCATCTTCGCCGATACCAAGGACGAGACGACGTTCCAAACCCAGGCGGACAACACCATTGACGTCAGCAAAACCTACCCTGATGTCAAGCACGCCTCGACTCCTTCTCCGGTTGCTGCCATCACGATCACGAAGGACACCACTGCTACTGTTATTCCCAGCACCTTGAACTCAAGTCAGTCTTCAAGTGTCTCCATGTTTCCGTCTTCTGTAGCAACCGAACAAGCGCTACAGGACACACCTGACTCTACCTTCTTTAGCCAATCTCAGGAAGTCTTGATCCAGCCCCGGGGCCACACTATCACTCGAATTATCGACCCAAAAGACCGCCAGCCGCCCACTTCATCGATGGCAAGACGCCAGAAACGGCCGCTCAAGGCTCCAAAGAAGGACGCCGCAGTGGAAATCAACCCTCGCCGCTCTGCGAGATTGGCTGCCAAGCCTAAACTCGCATCCGCAACTACTGCAACCAAAGAACGACAGGCGCCAAGACCAACTGCGAAAAACGTTCTTTTGCTATCTCCAGTGCTTAACCCTGGATCAAAGCGCGGCCACAAAGGAGATTCTGAGGAAGAGGATGAGGATGATTATGAGAAGGAAGGATATAAAAGTGGCCGTAAGAAGAAGATTGTGTCTAAGGCAACGGTTGAAAGGCAGCGTAAGACGAGAGGTAACGCGACGAAGCGCGGTGGTAATGGGCCCGACGGGAGGACTGCGCTGGAAAGTTATGGTCTCTAGACTGTATGTCTATGTGGGTCGTATCGCGGTGCGGGTGTGTGAATGTTGCTCGAAAACACTCTATAGCCGGCGGTTAAGATGGCTGGAAGCTCGAAGGGCTTTTGTCGTACACCAGCACCACAACAGCACCTAATTGCTACGATAGACAAGACGGTGGTTCAATGGCACGGCCATGGAGGATGTGAGACGCGTCGAGGTTGTTGCCCACCTAGACATTTAGTGGGATGCATGGTTAGTTGTTCATTTAGTTCTTTCTGTTTCTGCCAGCTTGCACTATAACCTTGCTTGGATCTGCATCCGTTGGACGTCCAGGCGCCAGTCCATGTCCAACTGCGAATAGTATTTTCGAAGCAATTAATCCGTTGTAAACGTCGCGCATCATGTCCACTGCGTGATGTGGCTCGGGTTGATCTCGGCTCTCCGCCCGTGTCCTTCGAATTCCGCATGCGCGTCACGTCGGCGCACGAATACGCGGTCAGCATCACCACTACATGCATACTTCAACCCTCTTCTACAGTACCTTGCAGCGAAGTAAGCCGGATAGATCTTGCTGCCTGACTTGGCCATGCGTCTTTCTTTCTCTCTCCTCACGGTCCTCCTAAACCTTCACCCAACCATTTGCACCAACATGGCCACCTCAAATCAACCCCCGGCATCATCATCCACACCAGGCTCCACAGCCTACGCCCCAGTAACGCGCATAGCGACTTTCCGCTTCCACCCGAACGTCACCGCAGAGCAAAAAGGTGACCGCGCATCCGCCTTTCTCGCACTTTACGCCGAGCATCCTGAACTGCTGGTCGAAGCACCTGTAGGAGGGAGACCGTTGAATACGCCGTTGAATTTGACGAATGTGAAGAGGGAGAGCATCTGGGACTTAGGATTCGTTGTTAAGTTCAAGGTATGTAGAAGTTGAGGTGTGCAGTGTGGAAGGTAGGGTGGAGCGGCCATGCGATTTGATGGCATGGTGGGGGATGTGAAGGAGATGTGAGGGTGACGGAACGGTGGAGATGGAGTACGAATCCTAACGGCGACTAGGACGAAGCATCGAGACAGAAATTTGACCTTGATCCTGGACATGATAGGCTGAAGGTACGTGTTCCAATCATCTTAGTAGATGGGATTGAGCTGACATGCTAGAAGAACGAGACGGATCCATTGCTCGAGCAGGTATTCGTGTATGACTTTGTCGCGCAGCCGAACCTGGGCTGGTAGTGTAACTCGTTGCGCAGAGGTCGTGATTGTTTCGTCGAGCTAGAAAGACGAAAGATGGAGAGCAGACATCGCAAGCAACGAGTCGCAGGTACGTTTGGGGCGATCTAGACTTTTGATTATTTCCTCGGAATCGGAACGTTCCGATGCGCTAGAAATGCTGCCTCCTCCGCACCTGTGACACTGTCAATCTTTGCGTGGGGACACTTCATCGTACTCTACTACCATGACTTTGTGCTTCAACCCGCCTATATGTACTGAACCAAGGTGAGAGCACTACATCAAACGCTCGCGACTTCGGCAACGCAGGGGACTGCAGCGCTAATTATGCCGGTGAACGCGACGGGCCTCAGCCCACCTTATCTACGCTAGTAAAGCAATACTCCCTCGTTCTCTCCGATGCGAAGCTCAGCTCTAGCCATTTCTTTTCACGAAGTGCTTCTGCTAGTGGCACACTCATTCTAATGTAAAGGGATTGAAATGCACCAACCGCGGGGAGTTCGCCGAATCAGGTGGTGACAATGCGGCATGGCAGCCAGCCACAAGCGCGATGTCCCCGCCAGCCACGAGCTGATGCTCAGCTCCTCGGCTGGACTAACTTTCCACCAGGACCACTTTCAGTCGTCGCATCGATAGTGTTCGCTGTCCCTGCACTGGATTGGGATATTTAGCTCTTTCATGCCGCCTGGCCCAGCTTCACACCCTCAGCTCTGTCGAAAATGCAGCCTAGAATGCATAAGCGCATTCGTTGTGGCTGTCCTCCGAACCACCTCTGACTCGGGACTCCTCAGCTGTCCTGCCACTTTTGGGTGTGTGGATTGCATCCGGTACTGGGATATATCTATCTCCATTCTCGCGGAGGTCGAGCACAATTTCTCAATTCTTTAATTCTCTCTTTACAGCGAATTTCATGCCACATTGTCCACCATGTCTCACTCTGTTGACGAGACAGCTAAAGATTGCACGCATACTCCAAGGAAGCTTGTCCTCTGCTTCGATGGCACTGGAAATGTGTTCAACGGGAACACTTCGGATACTAACATAGTCAAACTTTACGACAAGTTCGACAGAAAAGACCCTATGCAATACCACTACTATCAACGTAAGTAACTGGCACACCCTCAGTAGTAAGAATTCAACTGAGTGTTTAACTTTGAAGCCGGCATTGGAACATACAGTGCTGACGGAGGACCAATCAACAAATATTCCATTGGCAACATCAAATCCAAGATCTCGCAAACCATTGACAGTGGTTTTGCCACCACCTTTGATGCCCATGTAATCGCTGGCTATCGCTTTATCATGCGATACTACAAAGAAGGCGATAAGATCTACATGTTCGGCTTCTCGAGAGGTGCTTTTACTGCTCGCTTTCTTGCACGCATGATTCATGGACTCGGCCTGCTCTCTGAAGGCAACGAAGAGATGGTTCCTTTCGCATATGATCTGTACCAGCAGTACGAGAAAGGACTGCTACCTGATGCTCAGCAGAATCAAAAGGACCCTTCACAGGCTACGGGCACGAAGAAAGCATCATCCGCCAGCGAGGAACGTCAGCCTCTTCTCCCCCAAGATGACGAAACCGATGAGCAACAGCTCAAGAGACATAAGCTCGAAGCTTTCACATCGACGTTCTGCCGTTTAGAAGGCGCTTCGAATCAGCGTATCAAAGTACACTTCCTGGGCCTCTTTGACTGTGTCAGTAGTGTCGCAGTTCTAGACGTCCCCTTTGGCGAGGTCCCCAAAGTTGTCTCCGTCCTCGGAACCGCCCATCACGTTCGCCATGCCGTCGCTGTTGACGAGCATCGCGTCAAGTTCAAGGCAGCTTTGTTGCATCAAGACGTTAAAGATGCTAAAGCGTCAAACGAAGACATCAAGGAAGTTTGGTTCCCCGGAAACCACGGTGACGTTGGTGGAGGTTGGCCTGCTCCACAACCTCAAGGGCTCAGCTGGTGGCGAAGAATATTCACATCCGACAAGCAGGAGAAACCCTCTATTCCGAGCCAAGATCCCTATCAGATGAGCGATGTGCCTTTGGCTTGGATGATCCGCGAATTGGAGCAGCTAGGAGCAGATGACAATAAATCGGCCATCAAATGGAACAAGAAGAAAAATGGATTTAAGAAGAGCTTTTTCCGCAAGATCAACGAAGCGTACGAAAGCCCCATGCATGACACACTCACGGTAGGGGGCGGTTCCTCTTTCTTTAAGGTCATGCTTTGGAATTTCATGGGTAAGTACACGCACATCCTCCATGACGACCTGTGACTAAGCAAATCGAAACAGAAATTCTTCCCTTTTCGCGTTGGGAACTGAAATGGAACGAAGCGAAGAATGCGTTTGGGTGGGACTATACCTGGCGGCCGTTGAATTTGGCATCGGGGCGAGACATTCCCAAGGGGGCGCTTTTGCACGACTCTCTCCTAAAGAGATTAGCAAGTGAGAAGCATTCGAAAGCTGGAAAGGTATCGAAATACCTTCCAAACAACAACTCAGGCGACAAAGGGAAAAACAAATCGCCAGAGTGTTTGCTGAACACCAAGTTCGACCTCGTGAAGAAACTCGAGGACAGAGGTGTAACGAAAACAAACGCCAACGACCTCGCTGAGCCTGCTGGCATCCACAACATCTACGCTATCGAAGGTCAGATCGAGTCTAGTGGTTGGGACGTTAAGCTGGTCAGACCATAGAATGTGAATCTGCGCATGTATCATAAGTTTCTTTTGTGTCAACTGTTCTACCATCGAAATCTATATACAAATTGTCGCCACAAGAAGGATGAAGTCTTGCCTCCGAAGCCTCGTTCGCGCGTTGGAAAGCATTGGACTGGAATGCTATCCTCGGCTTGGGAAGAGATGGGAGATGGAAAGCAGATTATCTGGTAGTGGTACTCTGCGCGAGATGGCGTATGAATATCTACCTAGCGATGAATGTTGTGATAATATGTGCGGCTGTGAAAGGTGCTCAAGATGATAAGACGAATGCAAGGGCTTTTATTGTTCGTTGAACCTACGCTGCAGTGGCTGCTTCGTTCATCACGCGGTTCGTCAGCTTTTGTTGACATCCATACAATGACAGGCTCTTATCTAGAAGCGTTGCTCGTTATCTCGGGCCAGGGATCGCTCGCTTATGTACTCATGAGGCTCATCGATGGCCTCGACTGAGAAGAGCAGGAGAAAGTGGTCGTAGAAGGGATAACCGCTATGGATCTGCTCAACGATGTCAAGGTGTCGAAGGAGATATCAATGCCGCATTGTAACAGGCGATGCTCACGTGGTAAGCGGGAATGTAGTGAATGCGTCCAGAATCTACCGCGAGAAAGTCGATGCAGTCGACGAAGATCAAGAGATCTCATAGATCCGGCCGCTATCTCAAGCTGCGACTATGAAGATGCAAGCTCGCGCAGGGTGATCTAAAGGGATCACAATGATTATGCATGTCGCACGTGAAGCTAATGGTTAATTCCTATTCAGTACTCTTGCCGAAGAAGTGATTTCTCGCTTCGAAGAGCAGCACAGTAAAGAATGACGAGCGCAGTATGCGCGCGCGCTATACCACCAAGCTCTACTGTACAGAGAAGAGAGTAAAGAGATGTTGATGAACAGGAAGACGAATGCCGCGCGACAAGGTTTGGAGGAGCTTTGTAAAGAGCATGATTTGGACACACCGACCACACACTGTGAGCTTGAAAGAGACGACTTTGAGACTGTGATAGGACTTGGTTTTCTGTAGGAGAAGGGTTCGACAAGGTAGTGATAACGATGTCATTTTGAGTGGAGTCTGTAGAGAGATTTTCAACGGGCATCCCGGGTTTTGCAGGTTGTCTGATCGTTTCCAAGTTTCCAGAGGGTACGTACCTATAAGTCGGTATCTGCTTCCTTACATACTAGACCTTGCGCCTGACCAATCCCCTGAAGAAGTCAAAACTATTCCCATCACTCTGAATCTGAATAATCTTGCCCGTTCCTCGCCCATCAACCTCGCGCACCTCTTCAGCAAGGAGTAAACCCCAATCCCTCGTAATACCCTTTATTCTCGCTTTACACCCACGCTGCACCCCCTGTTGGTCCTCAAGCGTCACAAGCTGATCAGTATGCAGCCAATTCTCATAGTAGTACGACTCCATGTCGCGGTTGAATCCTTCCTGGCAGAATGTCGAGTACAGTGTCTCAAAGTGCGCCAGGATACTCCCCAGCAGCTTCTCTGGCGTAAAGTCCTTGAGCGGCGGATTCATGCCCTTGGCAAGCTGGTTCAAAGTCGTCGTCGGCAGCGCATTACTCAGATTCAATCCGATACCTGGTACGACATCGTACGTGGAACCAGAATAACTGCTATTCACCAAAATGCCTCCTATCTTGACGATGGGATTTGCACTCGAGCCGGGGAGTTGCGCGTAGATGTCGTTTGGCCACTTGAGCTTTATAGGGATTTTCTCGTACCCAGGCGCATAGTTCTTGATGCCTTGCACAATGGCCAGAGCAGCGAGATACTGGATAAACACTACCGGTGCACTCTGACTCAGTGCAAAAGAATGATGCAACACAGTGCTAAACATGAGTGCGCCAGGCGGTGCGATCCAGACATTGTTTCCGCGACCACGACCTGCGATTTGTGTCGTTGCTGTTATTGTAAAGCCGTTGGGGAGATTCCGCAGCAGAGACGGGTTCTTTTCGAGAAGAGTGTTAGTCGATGTTACGACTTCACCATACATGAGGTGTTTTCCAAAAGAGGCGTCCGGGTTGCGGAGCTTGGTGTGATAGTGATGGAGGTTTGCGTAAAAGGCATCATGATGGAACAGTGTCTCTTGAGCCGATGGAAGAGCTTTCTCGTGGGGTATTATGACCTTGACGATCTTGGCGTAGTCGACGATCTCGTCGGGCGAGGTGTTGGCTGTGTACTCGATACAGTCATGAATCTCCTCTTCTGGTGTCTTGGCCCTCTTCTTCTTGCTGTCATCTTCCTTCTCTTGGCTTTGCTCTCCAAAACTCTTCTCGCTACTGTTT